ACTGAAGTATATTTTCTTATTGAGATAAACTGAATTGTATACACACTCAAAGAAAATATCCGAAGTAGCTGAAGAAAAACTTAAGTGCAAAAAGAATTTCATTATTAAACTGAATGTATATACAAAATTACAAAGTGGACGAAAGTCCCATTTTCTGAATCAGATCCTTGAATTTAGACGGAGGCATGCCTTTAGTCAAGGGATCTGCTAGCATCAACTCAGTATTAATGTGTTCAATGAATACAACTTTATTCTTGACACGCTCCCTAATGGCTAAGAACTTGATGTCGATGTGTTTACTTCGACTCCCACATTTTTCGTTCTTAGTTAGGAAGACTGCAGCTAAGTTGTCACAGTAAATTTTCAATGGCTTAGATATAGAATCCATAATTCTAAGCCCGGAGATGAAATTCTTGAGCCACAACCTTGCGAAGTAGACTCGAAACAGGACACGAACTCGGCTTCCATGGTAGAAGTAGTTATTAAGGATTGTTTAACACTTCTCCATGAAATTGCCCCACCAGCCAATATGAAGACGTACCCGGAAGTTGATCTTCGAGAATCAACACAGCCAGCGAAGTCCGCATCAGAATAACCAACAACATCCAGGATGTCCGTCTGCCCAAAACCCAACTTGAAGTCTTTAGTACCTTTTAGATACCTCAGAACTCTCTTCATAGCTCCCCAGTGGTCCAAGCCTGGATTATGCAAGTACCGCCCTAACATACCAACGGCAAAGGCAATGTCGGGCCTTGTACAAACTTGAATATAGCCAAGACATCCAACCGCTTCAGCATATGGAACATCCTTCATACGCTCCTTTTCCAATTCGTTCTTAGGACATTGGTCTAAACTAAACTTATCCCTTTTGCAATAGGAGCAACACTCGGTGAACAGTTTTTCATCCGAAATCTTTCCAAAACTTTGTTAATATAGGTTTCCTGCGATAGACCTAGTATGCCCGGGACCTATCCCTATGAATCTTTATGCCAATGACATAAGATGCTTTACCCATATCTTTCATATCAAAATTTTTGGAAAGGAACTGTTTCACGTCGCGAAGCATCCCCACCTCATTAGTGGCGAGTAGGATATCATCCACGTATAAAACAAGGTAACAGATTTGACTCCCACTAACTTTCTGGTATATATAAGGATCTAAGGGACTTTCAACAAAACCAAATGATGAAATAACCCCGTCAAACTTAATATACACTGACGGGAGGCTTGTTTTAAACCGTATATGGACTTCCTAAGCCTACACACCAAATCCTCACACCTCTAGAGAGAAACCTTCAGGTTGTTTCATATAAACTTCCTTCTCTTAAATCACCATTTAGAAACTGATGTTATCACATCTTTGCTTGTTATTATAGTTATTTTGAATCATCTTAGTATTTAAGTTCTTTAATTTTGCTTATTTAATACATATTTTCCTTGCTATTATCATTTAATTATGGTTCACATTGTTTTGAATGTTTTACGGTGTTTGTTAGTGTTTTTGAACCATTGTAGGTCAATTCTATGAGCAAGGGAAGTTCAAGGATGAGTTTGGAGCAATTTTTGGACAAGTCCGGGACCCAGAGGGCTCGACGCGTCGAAAATTTCCAGTAGCATCACAAAACTGAGCCAAAGAGGCTCGACGCGTCGAGCCTTAATTCGACGCGTCGAGAATGACGCGACATGCAAAGTGATTTAGCGGCTGCAAATGTTTTCCCAATTCAAACTTCAATTCCAAATTCCAATTCCAACTTCAATTCTTTATTTAAAATATAGGAATTATAATTTGAGTCCAATTTTGTACAAGATTCCTATTTCATCTCAACTTTGTACCCACTATAAAATCCCCCCTTCTCAACCCTAATAGAGACCGGGAGAATTCAGAGATTCTTGGAGACAAGAAGGAGAGAAATCACTACACCAAATCAGGCATTTAGCGACGGTTTTTTTGCGTTTAGCGGCGGTTCCAAACTGCCACTAGTGTGTTTAGCGGCGGTTATTCAACCGTGTCTAAAATAGTGTGTCGCGAAGCATTTAGCGGCGATTTTCAACAACCGCGGGAATTAATGAAAAACTCATTTAGCGGCGGTTTTGGGTGCATTTAGCGGCGGTCTTGTAACCGCCGCTAAATATATATATATATTTATTTGAATAAATTTAGCGACGGTTACAAAACCGCCGCTAAATATATATATTTATTTGAATAAATTTTAGTGGCGGTTAGTAAGTGTTGCTAAATATTTGTCTTGATTTATTTTTTAAAATATTAGAGGCGGTTATTAAGTGTCACTAAATAATTTTTTATTTTCATAATTAAGTGTCGCTAAATGTTTTATAATTACATTATTATATTTTTATAACTATCATTTAATTATATTCTTCAAAATCTTTATATTCAAATGCGTATTGCAAATCACAAATAAAATCTATGTACCCATTTAATTGAAAAAAATCAATTGTAACTAATATTTATCAAATAATAATATTCAATAGTATTAAAAAGAAGTAGCTTCTCAGCTTAGATATTTCTTCCATGGTCTTTAACTGTAATGCATTTTCATTCCCTGACAGTTCAAAACATTATTCTTCAAATGCAGATACAGGCAGCCTTTGGTGGATAGACCAACATAATCTACAATCTCAGTCCTTGACATCTTTAAAACCTCTGGTCATATTTATGAAGTTCTGCATTCACTTTCTCCTCATCCCACATAAACCCCTGGTCATATTTATGAAGTTCTGCATTCACTTTCTCCTCATCCCACATAAACCCTTGATGTATGTTCTACAAGGAAGATTAAACATATTCAATAATTTAGGATCTTTAATCCATTAGTAAGTTGTGTAAGAAGTTTGCTGGTGAAAGCAACAGAGGTAATCACCTGAACCCACTCAAAATAGCTGACAGTAAATCCACCTGAGTTTGCATAGATGTCTGGTAGAATCACAACTCCTTTCTTTGCTAAAATCTGCAGAATACATTACATTATCTTCATTTATCAATGGGGTTTGAATTCTTATTACACCTTGATCCTACACTACCCAAACACAAAACCAATGATATAACAATGGTGAAAACTTAACAGCAAGATTTTTTTTTTTTTAAACAGCAAGATTGAATCAATTTCCTGGGTATGCTATCTTAGCAAAGAGGAAGTAAATCGCAAGAAGTGTATCAACTGGCCTAAAGACCTCCAAAATGCTTAAAGCTACACCTCTAACAAAGCAAACCTCTCAACTTATTTATAAATGCATGTATTCCAATACATGACACTATTTATCATCAATCACGGAAATAAACAAACTTGAGAAGGGAAAATTACTCAGAAACAGTTGGAAGACATATATATATATATATATATATATATATATATATATATATATATATATATATATATATATGATGCAAGCAGACACATACATACATCTTAATATGGATGGTTGGTTATAAATTAAAGTTGCAATACTACCTCAGGAGCCATCCAGGGAAAGCTTCCAACATCAGCAGAAAAATCACCTTCCAGACCTCCCTACACAGCCCAAAGTCCCAAGCTTCACACTCTTCTTGCTTTCTGATAGAAAAATATTATCTGCAATCCAATAAGATTAATTAGCTTGATGACTAATAAGCAAAATAGCTAGCAGCAAAAGTTAGGCCCGTAGAAAATTACTTACTGGGCTTCAAGTCGCGATGAATGATGCCATTTTCATGTAAATATGTCATTTGCGCGAGAGATTTGTAATGCCATAACATCCTTAGACTTTCTATTTCCAGAAAGCAGATTATTTGCATAATCGAGTGAGTTCTTCTACTCTAGCATACCTACACATCAAATAAAAAACAATTTCCGTTTGAGTTCAGTTGAAGGGTTAGTGATCTCAAAGAATAAAACAGAAATGAACAAAAAATAAGAAGAAAAAGAGTAAAGCTCTAGGAGAGTAAGCATGTTGACCTGTACAATTTTAATCATTATCTGCTCTTTCAATTCCGCTATCAACAACAGTGGTTATTTCATCATTTAGTTCTTCTCTTGTTAACTGCAAATTTTCAATCTCATTTAAAACCACAGGATTTTGGTTTTCACGTGAGATTGAAGTACAATCATATACGCTACTGTCTGCATTTTCACCCATGTCAAAAAAGTCTCTTGGTTTGAAAGGTATTGCAACATTCCAATCTTTCTCCAACTCATTAGTGACATAAAACACCATCTGAGCTTGTTCAGCTAACACATATGGTTCATCATCTATACTATCTCCAACATGTATTGTTCTAGAGAAGTTAACTTCGGTGAAGCCATAATGATCTATTCTTGTCCCTCTTGGAGTAGTCGTATCAGCCATATACACTTAAATAGTGTAACCACAAATTTGCTGTAGTAATTCAGTTCAATGATGTCAACCAATTTTCCATAATAAGCAACATCTCCAAAACCCATGAGTATCACGACTACTTGCAACACTTGGAGTTCCAGCAATAACAAATACTCCACTATTTTGAGACTTCAGTCCTTCTTCTCGGTTCACTGTTCGAAATCTTAAACCATTAATGTTATACGAAGAAAATCTTCTAGCATGAGTAAGTGGACCTCTTGCTAAAAACATAATGTCATCTGGCACTTGCTCTTGATTGTCATTATTTAGGATCTAAAACATAATGATATTGTATTAGTAAATTAATTTTGAAGTAAAATATTGATTTGAGGTGAAATTCTTACTCTCTTTGCAACCAATTGGAAAAAATCTCTATTAACTATTTTTTGAATCTCGCAGAAGATCTCGTCCGCCTTCTTAGTCGTCTCTTCGTTAAAACTGTAAATTCCCTGTATGTGATAACAACACATTTGTAACAATTGAAATAATATGTTATTTCTCACCAAAATACAAAAGTTTGGATGTTACTTACTCAACGTATTTGTCAACATGTTTGCAATTCATTAGCACATATCGATGTGCTTGTTGTTTCTCTATATCAGTTAGTTGGAAAGTTAAAACACTGCCTACTGGTCGACCAATTTGTTTGAAGATATTGCTTTGAATATTTTCAGCATAAAATGGCACATCATCAACACGCCTAGATCGGTTAAACCTTGTTTCAACCCCTTCTAAATACCTTGAGCAAAATGTAAGACATTCTTCAGCAATATAACCTTCAGCTATTGAACCTTCTGGGTTTGCTCGGTTGCGTACAAAAGACTTTAAATGTCCTAAGTACCTAAATATATAGAAATAAGACATTAGTAGATGCATTTATCGATAATCTAATAAAGAAAACTTTAAATATCCAAAATTTAGTCACCTCTCAATGCTGTACATCCATCGGTATGGAACAGGACCTCCAAGCTTAACCTCATCAACAAGGTGAACAACTAAATGCACCATTACTGTGAAAAATGATGGTGGAAATATCATTTCCATATGGCATAATGTTAGCACAAGTCGACTTTGAAGGTTATCAAGCTCTTTGACATTTAATACTCTACTACATATTTGTCTGAAAAAAGAACCCAATTCTACCAAAACCATACAAACTTGATCTGGTAATAGATTACGTATGGCAATTGGCAATAGATGTTCCATAAGAATGTGACAATCATGACTTTTCAATCCATGTATCTTGCGATTCTTCAAATCAACACATCTTGAAATATTACTTGAGTAACCATCTGGCAGTAATACACTCTTTAGTGTTGCAAGAAATACATCTTTTTCTATATTTGTCATTGTAAAACAACTTGGAGAGTATTTTCCATTTTCATTAGGCCAAAGGTCATCTCTTATACCCATTGACACTAAATCCATTCGAGCATTTAGATTATCTTTTGATCTTGCAGAGTCATTTAGCAAAGTAAACAACACATTGTCAAAAACATTTTTTTCAATATGCATGACATCAAGGTTGTGGCGCAACAAATTGAATTCCCAATAAGGGAGTTGGAAAATATACTTCTCTTCTTCCATTGTTGCGTATCACCATCTTCAATTCTTCTCACTCGTGATCTTTTCCCCTTCTCAGTCATTTCTAGGTTTTTCCCAAATGTAATATTGATATCTGCAAGCTGATTCAAAACATCTGAACCTGACAACATCTTTGGCGGACTTCTCAAATCTTTGGTTCCATCAAATTTAGAGTTGTGATGTCTATACCGATGAGAAGACCCTAAGAACCGACGATGACCCATAAAACACCACTTCCTACTATGTGGAAGGCGATTTGGCAAAAAATCAAAAGTTGCATGAGGGGCATGCTAGCCCTGTATGTGTATTCCACCCAGATAAGTTACCTAGCCCAGGAAAATCACTAATGGTCCACATTAGAGCTGCATGTAGTTTAAAAAACTGACCCTGTGAAGCATCAAATGTTTCTATTCCAAAACTCCACAACTCATTTAACTCTTTAATCAATGGTTGCATGTAAATATCTATATCATTCCCTGGCATCTTTTTCCCAGGAATAATCATAGACAAAATAAATGAGGTTTGTTTCATACATATCCATGGAGGCAAATTATAAGGAATTAAAATCACAGGCCAAGTGCTATGAGTAGAACTTTGATGTCCAAATGGATTGAAACCATCCGCAGCTAACCCAAGTCTAACATTTCGTGGGTCAGCAGCAAATTCTACATGGACTTCATTAAATCGCTTCCATGATTCAGAGTCTCTAGGATGTCGCATCAACCCATCTGTTACTATCCATAGCATGCCATCTCATATACTCAGCAGTTTTAGAAGACATAAACAACCGTTGCAACCTAGGCTTAAGAGGGAAGTAACGCAACACTTTAGAAGGTTTTTTTTAAACTTGCTACCACAACGCACATCACCACCATTCTTCCCGTTTGGTTGTTTCCATCTTGAAGTATGACATACTTTGCATGTTTCTGCAGCTTTATCATCTCCCCAGTATAGCATGCAATCATTTGGACATGCATGAATGCTAACATAATTAAGACTAAGTCTATTGATGGTTTTTTTTGCCTCATAGAAAGAATCAGGAAGCCTTGCTTGTTCAAAAGCATCTTTTAACAATTCAAAAATCATAGACATTGCTTTATTGCTTATTCCACCCAAGCACTTGATGTGGTACAACTTCAACAAAAATGATAATTTTGAGTACTTGCTACACCCTTCATACAACTCTTGATTTCCATCTTTGAGCAACTCATAAAATATTTTACTGTCTTCACTATCCTCTCTAGGTAATACTCCATCCCCAAGTAGTGTTTGTTGTGATGTTGAAGGTTCATTTATACCATGTGAAATATGTGCAAAAGCATCATGAATGATATTTACTTCAGGATTCTCAATTTGCACATTAGTAGGCACAACATTAGGAGTGCTACTAAAAGTGTCTAAAGATCCCCCTTCACCATGCCAAATCCAATTAACATATCCAGGTACAATCCCATCACAAATTAAATGTTCTTTCACGTCAAATTTATATAACCAATACCTAAATTTACACTTTACACAAGGACACAATATTCTTCCTTCAATACATCTATGCTCAATAGCAAAATCAATTAATTTGTTTACCCCTTCTATATATTCCAAAGTATTTCGCTGCAAATTAACCCAAGATTTATCCATGCATAATCTCTATATGAAGATTTTTCAAACTTTAGTAGTTTAGCATACAAGATCTACAAAGAGAAAGAAAGATGAATTGTCATATGTATAGAATGATGAGACCACATATATGCATATAGAGAGAGAAAGCGAGGATATATCGAGAGATTAATTTTAGGAATGCATCCTGCTTTAAAATGTGAATTGCTTTATATGTTGTGTTGTGTTGTTCCAACATTGAGATGTGGGTGAAAAGATGGAAATAACCCAAAAAATAAATTAACTTATAATTTAAGATGGTTAATGAAAACAGCCGATAAAATGGTTACTAGCATTTTATCTTATGATTTAAGTTTTGTTGTTAAAATAGCTGCGGTTAGTATAACTGCCACTAAATAAAGAACATGCAGAGAGAATTTACTTCAAAGAATCACAAATAAATTAAAAGGAACAATTGCTGAAAAATGGACTACTAACTTGAACAAGGCAACAGATTCATGCTTATATATATATATAGAATTTTGATGCCAAAAAGGGAAGGAAACTCACTCAAGAATGTATTCAGGTTCATGCATAAAGTTTTTCAACCCTGCTTCAAACACATTACGTGCCACCTGCATGAATACACAAAAAATTATAAAATACACAAAGGGGCCAAAACATAAAAAGAACCAAAAAAAAGTTCCAAACCTCATTTAAAACTTAGACACACTAGAATTGAGAATTTGAGGAATTAGTTCACCTTAGCATATATCCTTGTTAAGACAGAATTCAACAGTAATAAAAGAACAGATAATCTTACCATATAACCTTAGTCTGTAGAACAAACACAGATAACTAAAAATGAAAGAGATAAGAAGATAACTTGAGAAGTGGCAATAAAGATGCAATCTTGGATAGCTTTTGTATTCCAAGTCTATAGGCAGTAAAAAACATTAATAACCCCAAAGAAGGAATAATTCAACAGTAAGATTAACAACTATAAGTCTTGTTTAAATCACAATGATACCTGCACTCGAGCGTTTTTTAATCCTTGCTAGAATAAGATGCAAAGAGTATTAACTGCAAAAGCACACGTACCACAAAAATCAACGCGTTAGCTATGTGTAAAACAGAATAGACATAATTCTTCATATAAGAAGTTTCCTTCTAAAGCAATCTAAGAAAACAATCACCAAGAAACAAAGCAAATTATTATTATTATTTTTTACACCCCATGTATAACACTTGATAAGCAAAATATTAAAGTAACTGTAATGTTAGAAAATGACTTTGTATTCGAACAACATATTAAATAGTTCAGAGTCAGGTCATTTTAAGTAAGAATCAAACTCTACAAATTAAATTAAATATGACTCTAACCGAGTAGAGAGTAGTCTCTAGTATTAACCTATCAAAATTTCATTTTCAATCAAACTGAAAGCAGGGGATGGGTCTAACATTTTTATCCAATAGAATGGCTCATATGTTTATGGTCTACCAAATTAGTATGATAAACAGAAAATGCAAGGCAAGTAGGGAGTTTATTTTCGGCTCATTTCAACTGAAAACATGTTTAATGCTGAACTTTTGTAAAGGATAGGAATAGAAAGAGAATCACC